AAGATTTGTAGATTAAAATTACGCCATCTCATTACTTTATTCATTTTACATAAAACAATATGACTTAATTTATTGATATATGGAATATCTTAGTCATTACATAACATCCTTGATTTTAATTACTCATTTAAATTTTTTAGTAAAATAATAAATATAATAACTTTTTAATGTGTATATGTATGTAGGTGTTAAATTTTGTTATTACTACTTCTTATTTAATAATATTTTTAATATATAAAAACTCATATAAAAGACAAAATATATATATATATATATATATATATATATAATCCATATAAAAGACAGTATTTAATGTATATTTTAATATATTTATCGAGGTATTAAATTATGCAATTTTTTTACTACGGATAATTTTAGTTCACTAAACTAAAGATTTTTTTTTTTTAGTATTATGACCGTTAATAAGTTAAATTAGTATCTGAACCAATAGATTAAGAAATATTCATGACTAGAAAAAAAATACAAACTTTTAATAAAAAGAAATATATTGTATTCGACATATGTCATAATTAATATTGAAATTGAATCGATTGCTTAATATTATTAATTATTACATTTATTAAAATAAAATATAATTCAATTTAACATTATGATTCAATATTATATATATTGAATATAATATATATATAGAGCGAGGGGGGAGAGGCTAAACAATGTTTTAAGACCCTCATTAAAATTGGATTTTAGTCTCGGTACTTTAAAAACAATAATTTTACTTCTCATATTTTTTTTTTTATAATCGATAAATTTCGTCTCTCATCCTAGTATCCTAAGTTTCATAGTGTGGAATGAAGTACATCAATTATAAGTCTTCATATTTATTGTTTCGTCCATGATTTATAAAATGTCAGGACCAACTCTGATGAAAAAGAATAACACCTCATATAATTTTATAATTTTTAATAACTGTTAGTCCATACAATTTATCTGCTTCTAAAAGTAATAGGTCACTGAATTCCCAGCTAATATTAAGCTGCTACCTTTGTAACACTCCAGAATTTCTACTATAGCAATATCAATTATTATCTATTTTTATATATTTATAAAAATTATTTTTATAAGTTATTTTGGTTAATTAAAAGGGATTTTTATAAAATATTTGTAAAAGTTTTTAATAATTTAAAATTATTTGTGAAAGTTTTATAAAATTCTTTTTTTTACGCCGGAACGGGCTGTTCCAAATGTGGAATGGGCCGTTCCAAACAATGGAAATAAACTGTTTTTGAGGAAGCAGAACGGGTCATTCCAAAAGTGAAAAATTGATATAGATATATTACATTGTGTTTGATCCTTTGATATAAATGAGGTCACCACCGGAAATGCAATAATTTTGTTAATGTCATAATTATAATGTTGAATGATATTTGAGACACTTATAAATATTATGACTAATGAAGTGTGTCCTTAAACCTATTTAGGTTTGATTATTAGTTTTTCTACATTTGTAATTTGATATTATTCATGATTAAATTGATTGAAATAATCAACTTGTCGTGTAATTGAACTCATGTGTTACAAATCACGAGTCGTCCAGACCAAAGAAATAGCTCCACTATGATCATCAAAGAGTAGAAAAGAGTCTCAGTCTACTGCACAAAATAGTGCTAACACCCAGCCAAACAACAAAGCAATAAAGCTTACAAATAGATAACAAAGAAGATGAAAAACTCCAAATACACAGCTACAGTGCGAACTGAATATCTCCCTACTCATACCTCGTTTCAATGATCCAACCAGTCATAATGAAGAACCGGATGTCACGAACCTGCTGTCCAATTTTTAGCCCGATCCAATGGTGAACGAATCTGCAGTACTGATTTTATTGTCGCAGCTCTGTGTAAAAACGAGAATGACTTTCTCTCTTCCTCTCTCTCAAAGTGCTGGTGCTCTAAGTGACTTCTGACTTTCCCTCTTTTTCTCTTACCCCCTTCAGACTCTCTCTCCACTTAATTAAGTGAGACATCAAGTGAGCTTCTCAAATTTGGGCCTTTTCTCCACATAGGAAGGGGGCCCAATACCCAACATTATGACCATTTTAGCAGTCGGTGAAAAAGTATCATGGTAATCAATACCTTCAACTTGTGTGTCACCTTTTGCTACTAACCGCACTTTATAGCATTCAAGAGAACCATCGGAGTTGCGCTTGATTTTGTATACCCAACGACAACCAATAGCTTGCTTTCCCAGAAGGAGGGGTGTGAGGAACCAAGTGTTGATGACCTCTAAAGCAGCCAATTCAGATTGCATTGCTATTTGCCAATGAGAGTGGGAGGCAGCTAAAGATAATATTCAATCTCTTTTTAATTTATTATTTTTTCTCACCAGAAGTGAGAAATATCAATATTTCATTGACGTAATATATTTTGTCATTATTATGTAATCATGTTTTTCATATTATGAATTTGATAGAATATTTGTATTTTTATGATTGTGAAATTTATTTAAATACAATTGATTTTAAAGATAAAATAAAAAAATTATAAAACTATTTTTATAATGGTTTAGAAGACATTGTCAAATAAAAATATTTAATATTTTTTTCTCACCAGAAGTGGGAGAATGATGAAAAAAATGAAAATGAAAGAATAAATTTTCTCACTAGAAGTGAGAAAATAATATGAAAAGTGAAAAATAAAATAAATTTCACCAGAAGTGGAAAAAATTGATATAGATATATTACATTGTGTTTGATCCTTTGATATAAATGAGGTCACCACCGGAAATGCAATAATTTTGTTAATGTCATAATTATAATGTTGAATGATATTTGAGACACTTATAAATATTATGACTAATGAAGTGTGTCCTTAAACCTATTTAGGTTTGATTATTAGTTTTTCTACATTTGTAATTTGATATTATTCATGATTAAATTGATTGAAATAATCAACTTGTCGTGTAATTGAACTCATGTGTTACGTCATTGAATCTTAAAAAGAGTTTAATTTCAAATTTCTATGATTTATGAGTTACGAATGTGAATCTTCTACCTTAAAATATTTGAGACAAATATTTCATCCATGAAAAAGGTTGTCAATTATGAAAGATTTTATTTACTCAAAAAGGAAAAAAAATTATTGTTTATACTTATTGTGTATTATGTAATTTGATATTATTCATGATTAAATTGATTGAAATAATCAACTTGTCGTGTAATTGAACTCATGTGTTACGTCATTGAATCTTAAAAAGAGTTTAATTTCAAATTCTCTTGATAGAATTAATATTATTTGTTTTCATAATGTTATGCATCTATTAGTTTAATTGATGGAAATATCATTGCGTTATAATTTGATTGTGATTTGTACAAAATACTAGAATTTAATGAAATTATGATCAATATTTATTTCCTTATTTTTTCGATACAACATTTATAAAGAGAATAATTTCCCTAATTTTTAGCATTATTTTTTTTCTCCTTAAAGTCAACCTAGCAATGACATAAATATATTTTTATTAGATGATTTTTTTTAATAAGTATAATGAGAAAGAATCACTTATTTTATTTTTTATTTTAAAGAAAGACATAAACAAGTTATGATTTTTTTTTCAAATGAATATATGATTGTGTTGTATCATTCATTTCCTAAAATGATAAAATAAAGTGCTAGTGAGATATGTTTTTAATTTTTTTTTGTATGAAGCATTTATTTGTAGATAATATACATGAAATGATAAAAAAAATTAGTGTAGATTTTGATATTAAATGATGTCTAAAGATACATAACAAGAATGTCATTTTTATGATTTCTCAATTTAAAAAATATATTATATTTTTCATACATCTATTTTGCTCTAGAAGTAGTAATATTTTAAAAAAATAATTAAGAAATATCCTTAGCTAGTTTATTGTCTCTTGAAAATTAAAACAAAATATTGAGATTTTTTTATGCAAGACTGCAAGAGACCATTTTAACTAACATTATTTCATTCCCTAAAGTGAATGCTCTAATGTATTAATTTGTGTCTTCTCATATTCAATAATGCGAGAAATTAATGTTATATGATACAATAAATATAATTGAAGGCTCTGGAAGAGCTAATATATTATTACTGAAAGAAATGAAGTTGCATATTAAAAATGCATTATATTTTTCTAAGTCTTACAAGAACTTATTAAGTTTCAAGGATATTTGTTTAAATGAGTTTTATATTGAAACAAACAATGAAGTGAATGTAGAATATCTTTATATCATGAAACTCCACTTGAATAAAAATGAAGTATTGGAAAAATTATTTGTTTTCTCCTATGGACTGTATTGCACGTATGTTAATACAGTTGAAACACATACTATTGTAAACCAGAAGTTTACAAATCAAAATAAATTTGAGGTTTGACATATGATCGGTTGGGTCACCTTGGGACTATCATGAT